AATGCTCTCACTCCCTAGGATTGTTCTATATCGAAAGAATATACCCCTATTTTTTTATTTTGAAATCAAAAATATTCAGAGGTCGCTCAAAGCGCTTAAAGTTTTCCAAGTATTTTATACAGAAAAACAAAACAACTTTTCGTAGAAATGGTATAGAATTCCTGAAAATCAATATTTTTCGATCGGAAAACTTTAGTTCTCTTCAGAAGGCTTCCACGAACAATACCCAATTGTTTATTTAAAAAATTTTAACACGAAACATTTTTTATTTATCCCCCCATTATATTCTCTGGCATTTTCTGGGGGTTTTTGCGGACCTATAAAATATAGTTACTACACAAAAATTGTTTAATAAATAATTGGGTATTATATAGCATTTCTACGAAAATGGTTTTTTTCCCCATATTAAATACATTTGAGCGCTATGAGCGACCTCTAAATATTTTTTAATTTCGAAATAAAAAAATAAGGGTACATTTTTTCGGTATAGAACAATCCTGGGGAGTCAGAGCATAAAAATACGGACTTTACTTTTTCACGTGCATTTTTGGACCACCCTAATATACATACCATACAAATATTATTTTGACTACGCTGTTATTCCAGTCAGGCATTCGTCAGTAGTTCATCCCGGGTAGACAGGTCTTTCTCCGCTTGATCCTTCAATTGTTTTCGTCCTTGCTTTCGATGTCCACCCATGCGCCAGCAGCACAGGTAGATTAGATTAGCTTTAGAGAAGGGAGCATGTCACCTAGTTACCGCAACCAAAACTTTCTATTGTAATAAGGTCTCCTTTGATCCACGTAATGCCAAGAAACCTCGCGAGATCTTTTGGCGGAATGCCACCTAGGTTGCGTGTTTCTAGGGACGAGCTTCACAGTGGTACCGAATTTGGTCTGCAGTTTCCTGTTCTTCGTTGCACAACCTAGGCTGATCAGAGTTCACAACTCCTATGTTTAACAAGTGTTTCATTATTCTATAATGGCCAGTAAGAAAACCTGTTGCAATTCTTACTTAATGCCTACTGAGGGCAAGGAGTTATTCGGTTGTCCTTATTGTTGCATTCGGAATGAAGGACTTAGCCTGTCGGTTATCTTCCGTATTTGTCCAGTAATGATGCACTTCGTTTTTCATCCAGATATAGTACTTTCACCTAAATAACGGAGCTCCATGGCAGACCACTTAATGGTCCTAGGCCTATAAATCTCTGGGTAGCCCATTTTCTAGCAAGAATATGTGCCATTTCCTTGCCCACGACTCTACTGAGTCCCGGTACCCATATGAGGTATACCCGGTTACTGGAGGCGATAAGTATTAAATTCTAAATGCAATCTCACACCTGCTTTGAGCTGACTTCGCCTGCTATAAGAGCGAGGAGCGCCGCTCTGCTCTCGAAGTGTATGTAGATGTGTTTGTTGGCTGCTCCACTTTCGATATATTGCCTCAGATATAGTTAAATGGTGTGCACCTCGCAAACACCCTATATCGGAAAACTTTTCAAGACCTTCCTACTTCAGAATTTGATTCAAACACAGAAATCTCAGAATTCACGTCAAAAACGCCATATCTCAGCTGAAAATACAATGAATAGGAGAGAGTTATACAAAAATTTCAGCCGCTTTTCATTGCCCGTAAGTTTCCGGCCTGGATTGGCGCCAATTTCCGTGTGTACCCTTATGGAGCCGTTCTGAATACCGATCGCTTTCAAATAATACCGAAACACCTTAATTCGGCAAACTTCTTGACTTCCCTCGTTATCATTTATCTTATCGTATTTCATCAATTTAATTTTTCTATCGGTATACAAGTATTTTTGAAAATCATTCTATCACTTTGTCCAAGAACGTCATATTAAACAACAAAATAAATATCAAAAAATTATACAAATGTATGTATGTATATTAGGGCGGGTCAATTTGTATGGAATATTTTTTCGACTATGCGCGTATGTCACAGACGGACTCTACGTGTACCTCTTAGCAAATTTGCCGAAGAAACCATGGGCCTGAAATCAATTTGGAGTTTGCCAAATTGCGAAATCAGATTTCTTAGCATTTTGCTATAGTGTCGTAAATAAGTTTTGTATACTATAGGGGTTTTTTTTGGTGAGGAAGAATCCATTTCTGCACTTATCTCTTTCTTAAAACTTCCACCAGAGGGCGCAACACTGAGCATTTTCACATTTTCTTCGAAAAGAAGTTTCGCAAATCGGCAAACTCCAAATTGATTTTAGACCCATGGTTTCTTCCGCAATTTGAATAACACGCAGAATTCTCCCATTCTATACACGCATAGTAAAAACAGTTGACCCGCCCTAATATAGGTATAAGTACATTTATATTAGTCAATAGATAATTTCCTCTTGAAAAAAAATTATCTACTTATTTTTTTCCTCGAATGGTTTTTGCTTTCTAATCATACTTTCTAATCAGAGTTGGAAAAGGTAATTTTGCTAAATAAACAAATTATCTTCACTTAATTATTTTTCTTTTAATTTCGTATTACAACCATTTATCCGTTTGGGCTGAGGCCAATTGCCTTTCGTTGCTCAAGTGCAGATAGGTCTTCTGCACTGGTTCCTTCCATTTTGTTTTCGTGGGCGCCTATTGTTTTCATTGACAACACATGAAGGCGAGTCAAAAAATATTTTCACCGAATCCATTTTGGTTAACTTTTTATAATCTCTGCCAAAAAAATCATACCAGCAGGCGTGCATTTTTTTTTGCAATAAAATTGCACGCTAAATTTTAATGGAAGTACCTGAAGACAAGAATGAATGGTAATGATTAAATAGCACTATGTACTAAAAATTCAATTTTTATTGTCCTTGAACAGTTGGTTCAACATGAACACCTAAAGAGCAATAAAAATATGTATATATATGCATGTAAACACAGATGTGTGCAAGTTAATAAATTTTATCGATTGCTGTCCGTTATTCGCGGTGTCCTTCAAAATTGGTATCATGTTAGGATTTCATACTCGCCCCTGCTTCTTTGAACCACTGGGGACAGTTTCAATGTTGTTCATTTGGGTTTATGTACAAATGTTCATACATACATAAGGTTGTAAATATTTGTAAGCAAATGTGAGTTGATTGTAGGCAATCGATTTTCAAGTGCATGTACTTCGTTTGCACTGGTGACTAACATTGGCTGCCCTATGGTGTAATTTAATATGCACATTAGGGTGATCTTTAAAAGACATATAAACATCTAGATTTTTCTTTTATTTTGTTCTACGTACAAAATAAAGACATCCAGCAAAAATTAAAGAAAAATATTAGGGATTGAAAAAATTATTAATTTTTTAAGGACCAGTTTCCAGCTCTCAAGAAAAACGAAAAATTCATATAAAATTACGCACAAGAAATTGAAGGGAAATGTTGTTCTATCAAAATTTCTTATATCAGTTTGCTGCTCTCAAGAAAAAAATTCTCGTATATTTCTGTGTTCGTATGGAAAAGCAGCTTATGTCGAAAAGCTGGCTTTAGTATAAATGGGCATTCGCAGCATGCGATTGCGAATGACTCACTGGCGCTGAGCCGTTGAAGAACTTTTGGCAAATAAACGTGCAAGAAGTAGTTCCGATAGTAGCAAATCAATATTCTTATTAAGTCTCATCAAAAAAAATTCCTTGTCGTTTAAAAAATAAAGGGAATGCCGCATTATACTAAAGCCAGCCTTTCGACATAAGCTACTTTTCCATATGAACACAGATTTATTTCATCAAGAAAATTTACAGCAAAAGCAAAGTACTTTTGCAAGCAACAGAAATAATGAGAAATAGTTCTTGTGATTTTTCTTGAGAGCTGGATTCCAAGCTTTAATCGGAAATATGCAACCATATTTGACGCAGCGTATTAAAACTTATTCATTCACATTCTTAAAATGGCTGAGTTTTAACTGGCTAAAATCGAAATTTTGTAGAATTTTGGCGATTTAGTTTTCAAACCCTGATAGTGACTCCTAAAAAATTAAAAAAAAAGCCGTAACAGCTTCGATAAAAAAAAATCTAAAAAATCTGCGCTATTTGAAACTTACTATTTTACAAGAATTGAATGAGCTACATAACTTCGTACTCAAAATCTTTCTAAGAAATCTAATTAAAAAGCTCGAGATTTTTGGGAAATTTAATTTTTTCTTTTTAATATTGCACAAAGTTTTAAACTTGGATTTAGACGAGTTTCGTTGAAGAATGAACTATATTTTTATGAAAAATATAACTAAAATTAAATATAAAAAAAAAATTGAATTTATCAATTTGTAGTTCGGCTATAATTTTGCCGACCACTGTATATACCTATACTAAAAACGTAATACTTATTAAGGGTAGGGCTTCACTTTTCGCGAATTTCTCGAACTTTGCTTAAAAAATTCGAACTTTCAATGAAATTTTGTACCTCAGACGTTGAATAATCAATTTATTTGATATTGTGAACTATTAGGTAACTAAGTAGGAGGTAACTTACTGCATTGCAAAAATCCCCAAATCTATTTCACAAGTAATAACAATTGTATGAGTTGGTTTAAGGAAATAATATTCATAAGGCAAGCTTTTCTGTTTCACTCACTTTAACACATTTACAGCAACACTCAGTTATATAGCCCTTTCCTAGTGTCTAATCTAGTGGTATGCGATTAACTATTTTCAAATTATCATCCTTTTGGCTGAATAATGCAACAGATAGTAATAACGTCATAAAAATATGGTTATAATTTATTTCGCTACCAAATCCCAGTGCAGTAGCGTGTAAGAGTGTTAGAGAGAGGAAAGAGGGACAGAGTGTGAGAGAGCGATAACGTTAAAGCGCACTGCACACCTGTGCCTTATAGTAGTATCTCTTATCGATTGTGGGCTTATAAATATTGCCATTGAACTGCGATAAGGCTATTGATATACATACATACATACATAAATGATTTCTGCTTTGTTTCAAGTTAAAGAAAAAAGGTGTTTTCGTTTTTTTTTTGTCGATAAGCAAAAGAAAATAAATTTAGACTTAAATGAAATATGCCAAACTGGAGTTTTGTTAGTACACGGTATTAATGCGCGCGGTAAACTTGCACGTAAATAGCACACGCGTCAGCTCTAAAGTGATTAGTGATTTTCAAATAAACAAATATAAATTATAATAAATTTGTTGAATTAACATTTATATTTTGCAGCCCATCTCAAGTTGGAGGAGTATACATACGTAAACGACAAAAATGTCCCTTTTAACGGGTAGCGCAAATACAATCAAATATGTGCTCTTCGCATTCAATTTGGTGTTTATGGTAAGTTTGAAAAATATGCTAAAAGAATATATATTTAATTAAATATATAACAAAAATTATTTAATTATTGAAAAAAAAACTATACTTAATTATATAAAAACAGGAGTTCTAAGGCTTGATCGTGGATGAAACTAGATATTTTAAAATCCGCTAGCCTATTCCTTACTGTAAACTTCATTTTTGTAAAAACAAAAATATATGCGTTCAAAACAAGTACATTTCGACACCTAAGTGGAAGATCGACCTATTTCGGCAGCCAGTTCGAAAATGCCCTATGTCAGAAAACTTTTCAAGAACGCCCTATTTATGAATTTGGTTCAAAAACGCCCTATATCAAATGCAAATATATTGAAAACATGCTGATATAGGGCGTTTTCGAATTGGCTGGCGAGATAAGTAGGTTGATCTTCCACTCAGGTGTCGATATGTATGTACATAAGTATGCAAGTGTATATGTATGCGGGAAAGTTCTTACTTAGATACAAATATTTTCGCAATTTTCAAAGAAATAGACATTATCGGCCGTTACCTTGAAAAGAATAAAGAGAAGGGTAAAAATAAATTTAAACATTAAGCAAAATACATATGAGGATGAGGATAAAGTAAAGATAAAGGTAAAGGATGCAAGATTAAGATAAAGTAATAATAACCAAAAGATATACATAAAAAGAGAGAGCGAACTCACCGCTCATATACCCACCTCACGGAAATTAGCCACATCTAAACCCACCACACCTAAATTCACCACACCCAAACTCACCACACCACACATAAATTCTCCACTCCTAAATTTACCACACCCTTGTTTAACTAAAGTCACTACACCTAAAAGTACCGCACCTAAATTCACCACACTTCAGTACACCAAACCCAAACTAACGACACCTCGCCTGAACTCACAAGACCTCAACTCACCGCACCTGAGAAGAATAAGGACGAATATAAAGATAAAAAATGATGGATTAAGATAAATGTAATTTTAGCAAAGCCATGTCTAGTCGTTACGAAAGTAAGTAGTAAGGATTCCTTAAGTACGTCGTAAGGACTGGACATGTATTTGACAAGGGTTAGAGACATGAGACACTTAACAGTAGTAAGGGTTTGGTTTTTTGTTTTTAATTTTGAGTTGTGCCGTTATTACACAGGACCATCGGCATGTTGATACATAAGTATGTAACGTACCTATGATTCACTTCTAAAGTGTTACCCAGGTGTACTTACCTCTTGGCTATAAAAAAAACGTTAATTACTCATACGCCCAGGCCATCGCGAAAATTACCTACCTATTAGATAACCTTCTTATTGGATTTTTTTAATAAAAGGGTATTTTTCATTTACTATTATTATCACTACACTCTTATCCTAAAATATTTTAAATTGGTGAATCCTTCTCAAAACACTATTAATCACAAAAAACACAGCCGGAAGACAGAAGCGTCATACCCTTTTGAAAAATTTTAGTTTCACAAGGTTCAAAGTCTAATTACAACCACTTATCTAAACACACAAAAATATCTAATATATACCAATGCTGTATGCACTATTATCACTCGGACGCGAATAGCATTATGCACCACAGCAAATCACTTTATGCAAGAATAACAACATCTATTTATGGCCAATGCATTTGATAGCTTATCATGAAATTTCCTATCAGCAATAAAACGATCATAAAATGTATCTTATCACTGCTACAAAACAATGGCTAAGGCGTTATGTTACCTATGTATGTATCTATCATATATAATTTTCTGTTAGAAACTGCACTAAATGTTGAACTTTAAATTTGGGAAATATTTGTTGAAAATATTCTCTTAAGTATAAGCTAAAATTGTTTGCGAAGTTATTGGTAATGCGAATTAATAAAGTTCAGTGATGAATAAAACAATTATCTTTAAATTGTCATCATTCGTATCCGTCAAATAAAACTATTTGCTATTCGGAAGCCATGGAAATACGAAACGTCCCTCTTTCATGGTAAATCGACTAAGCGAGTTTCACTGACTGATTTGACGCACACACAGCCTATGATCTGGATTAACTTATAAAATAATTTTTGAGAAGAGTTGCCATCTTTTTCAAAAGTTTAACCCAATTAATTAATAATTTAAATAAAATTTCGAAAATATTTTTGAATAGGGTTGCCACCTATTGAAAAAGATAAAATCAATTTAATTATCAAGTTAAATCAAATATTTTCATATGGGAGGTTTAAGGGAACTTTGGTTCAAAAATATTTCTGAAGAGAGTGTTGCCGCCTGTATATACATAAATTGAAAATCAATTTAACTTTCAAAATAAAATAAATGTTTAAATATGGGCATCAGATGAGGTAAGTTCAAGAAAGCTTTATTTTGAGAATATTTTGTAAGAGGGTTGCCAGCTGCTCAATATTATAAAATAAATTTAATTAATAAGTTAATTGAAATCTTTGATATATGCAGGTGGAACCTGGAAAAAGTTAAATAATGCGCTTTTTTTAAGAGAGTTGCTACCTGTTTCTAAATTCAGAATAAATTTAATTAACAAGTTAAGTACTTTAATTTGGGAGAGGTTTAAAAAAGCTGTATCTTGGAAATATGTTTGAACAGTGCTGCTACCTTTTCAAAAAGATAAGATCAATTTAATTGCACAGTTAAATCAAATATTTTATCATGGGTGTCTATCCAGAGAATTTTAAGAAAGCAAGAAACTCCAGAGCATAATTCTTTTTAGAACATTCAGCGTAACAGATTGAGGTACAGCTGTAATATTTTATAGCATAACTTTAAAACGTATATGACGCGGGCGAGGCCGCGGGAAAAGGTTAGTGTAAATATATAACTTCAAGAGCAGAATACCTTGAACACCCTTTCCTCACCCAAAGGCTGAGTTATCTATAGCACACCTGCATTTATGGGTAAAGTACAAATAAACCATGTTATCAATATTTACATATGTGTGTACCTATTATTATTTTTTTTTTATTATTATTTTTGTAATTAACAAAAGAATTTCTTAATTGATATTTTTACATTAACGGTAATTGTAGGTATTTTGATTTTTAAGAGTTAACTGTAGTACAAAAAGTAATATGATAAAAAAAATGATGTGAAATGGCATGGACTGTAAAGTCGATAATTAAATCGATAAACTTACAAATTTTTTACCGATTATTACAACATACTTCCTCAAAGTTATTAATAGATCTATTGGCAATTATTAATAAAAGTATCGATAACATGTTTGAACCTTTAACATAAATAACGGTAGCCATAAATATATCGATAAAATAAATAAATATATCGAGAAAGGAATCAAAAATATGTGCAATCCAATTCAGACGTCAGAATAACGCGCTATTCTCAAGTGGCCAATTGAATACCGGGAACTCTTCTATAGTGAGACTCCCATTCCTATGGCATTGGCTGCTTCGACGCAGCCTCTCCAGAGATTTTCCAACAACTTCCATCTTTCCTCGTATACTATTTTTTTAGTGATTCTAGCGAAAATAATTCAAAACGCGTTACAGACCCAAAGCGCGCATAAGTAGTGCGTAGATCTGATTCCATGGAGATGATGAACCCAATGTCGCCTCGCCTGGTCGGCATATTGACGCAAAGAAAGATGATGTGATGAAAGCGTATCCCTAAGAATGCGCAACTCAATTAATATTTTCAGATTACCGCATAAAGGACATCATGTTAATATACCTGAAGCTTCTCGGGCTTTATTAGTCATCCCTTCCAACAGGCAAGTGGTGGAGAGCTCGTCCACCTTTAATATAGTCATAGCTAAGGAAAAATTTAATTTAAATGTGAAAGTTAACGAGTTAGTGAGTGTATGAGTTAGTGATTGGTTGGAAAATATTTTTTGAGCGGGTTGTCACTTGTTAAGTATTTCAAAAAGAGTTTAACTAATAAGTTAATTAAAATATTTATATACAAGATAGGTTGAAACCCCGTATTTCGAAAATATTGTCGAAGAGAGTTGCCACTTGTTTAAACATTTAATGTAAATCTGATTTTCAAGCAAAATTTAATATTTTAATATAGATATGGGCTTAAGTCAGCTTTATTTCTAAACCAATTTTGAAAAGAGTTGCCACCAGTTAAAGATCCAGTTCAATTTAAACAGAGGTTAGATGAAGCATTACGGTACGGATATATATGATAATCGCAGGCATATTTATCAATGTCATCAGATCTGCAGCGTTCGTTTTATTTATTTTTTTTTTTTAACGGAGTTGCCAACTGTTAACCAATTAATTTCAAATTATTTATTAAGTAGGTTTAAGAAGGTTGTAGTTTGAAAATAATTTGAAGAGCGTTGCCACCTGTGCGAAAAGTCGAATTAAATTAAATTTAATTATACAGAAGTTACATAGGTGAAACGAAAAAAGTACAGAAGGCTTTAGTTTGAATATGTTTCTTAAGAGTGTTACCACCCTTTTGAAAAGTCAATTTAAAAAATTAAACGGAAGTCGTAAGGAATATTTCAATATTGGTGTTAAACCAAAAAGTTTTAAGAAGGCTTTAATTTAAAAGCATTGTTGACGAGGGTTACCACCTACTAATAATAATAATATAATGAGCAGAGAGAGCTTTTGCTCTGCAAGCACCTATACACAATGTATAGAAAGCTTAAAGAGCCCATCGCCGATTTAGACATACATATGTACAAAAAAAAAAAACTTTGTTTCGAAAATATTTTGGCAAAAGTTTCCCTTCTTTTTGAAAAATCGAATACATTTTAATGAACAGTTTTAAATAGAACTCGAAAATGAAGCAATTGCAGGAGAGATAAAAAGTTGTTGATAATATTTGCACTCTTAGGGCCATTTTCTTAAGTAGGTTTTAAAATTAATCAGCCTTCTAAACACAAATTTTGTTCCGAAATAATGTGTTTGAAGGACAGATAAATTTTAAATTCCACTTAAGAAAACAACACCTTAAACTATAAATTTTCTAAAAATATTTAAGTAGTTTTAATAAGTATAAAAAATTATTTTCCACTTTTCATTTTATCTTTCAACAATTTTGCAGATCACTGGCATCATTCTTATCGCTGTAGGCGTGGGCGTGGCAGCCGTATTCACTGGCTATGACATATGGCTCGTCTCTAAATTCTTCTCAATACCAACCTTCCTTATCGTAATCGGCGTCTTCGTCATTTTCATCTCATTCTTCGGCTGCTGGGGTGCACTCAAAGAAAATTACATTCTAATTCTTATATTTTCCATATTACTGGGCTTGATTTTCATTCTCGAATTGGCAGCAGGAATTAGTGGTTACGTATTACGTTCGGATGCTTCAAATCTAATTGAAACAAGTTTGAATGATTCACTTAAATCATACAATAGAAAAGATCCCACAAATTCCTACACAATTACATGGGATTATGCGCAAAGAGCTGTAAGTACAATACAAAAAAAAAAAAAAAAAAAAAACTTCCTTATTCTAGCTCTTATAATAAATAAAAATTTGTTTATTAATATTTAACAATCAATTAGTTCGGCTGTTGCGGCGTTAAGAACTATACAGATTGGACGGATATATACGATGGTGAAATGCCGCTTTCTTGCTGTGACATCCCCGATGGCATTGTCGGCGCATTCAATTGCTCATCCGCAACTGAAAACAAATATCGCCATTCCACTGGTTGTTTGAGTGGATTCTCGACTTTTATAGAAGCACACGCTGTTAGCTTGGGCGCATGCGGTATTGTGCTTGCCATCATTCAGGTTAGTTATCGAATTAAACGTTTAAGAATTTTAAATTTATAATACATATTTTTTTTCTCTCTACAGTTCTTCGGGGTGATCTTTGCCTGTTACATTGCCCGTGAGATAAGGATTCGTAATGGCATAACGAGTATATTTGGTTGAATGAATCACACGTATCACTCAACAGTGTGCGCAAAAAAGTTGCGCCTTTCATAATATAGTTTTGTTTAAAAAATTTATCACTTACATTTATGTACGTCCATATGTAGCTTATGTATTTATGAAAACTGGCTTTTTTGCTATTAAAAATAGCTAATACATTGTACTTGGCATTATTAAATAATAAAAAAATAAAAGTTAGTTAATTGAAGGTCGGTTGAAAGTTATGAAAGTCAATTTGAGAAAATACAAGTTTGTCGGTAGAGGAGTAAGAGTAAGACTGAAGATGACCTAGACATTATCATATCACTTACATATGCATTTCGATAGACCCGGGCAACTTCATCTCAACTGGTGGATAGATACATTTTTCGTAACTCGACAAATGCACATTACTGAAAAATTGGTAATTTAAAGACTGAATATAAATTTTGACTACTTAAAATGTAGAAATAATATTTGCTTTAAGAACTCGATATAAATGTTTGTTAATTCAAACACATTGAGATAATTTTTTACTGAATTAAAAATTGGACATATACTTAGGTTACTTAGAAATATACATATATGTACATACTTTTTTGGTAATTTATAAATTGAATATAAGTTTTTGGTTACTTAAATAATGGGCATCATTTTTTGGTAGTTTAAAAACTTATTATAAATTTTGTATAACTTTAAAATAGAACATTATATTTCGCCAATTTAAAATCTGGAAATTTATCAAGTTATCGATATTTATTGCATTTGCAATATTTATGGAGTTAGCGATATTTAGCGAGTTATCGTAATGCGTCGAGCTCTTTGATCTTATCGAATTATCGATATTTATTAATTTACTGAAAATTGTTCATTTATCGAATCGAAGTTTTTGAAATTTTCAAAACATACCGAGTTATCGATATTTCAAGGTTATATAAATTGCTTGAGTTATCAGTGTTTATCGAATTTTACCGTGCTACCAGAGACATTGGTCGATAGCTTTCAAAAAATATGTAGCTATTAAAATTAACCAAGCTATCGATATTTATAGAGGTATCCAAAATTTATCGAGCTATTGATTTTTATCAGGATATGTACATTTTGGAGTTATCCAAATTTATCAAGCCCAAAAATACACAGGTATTGAAATTTATCGAAATTAGTCGAATTGAAGGGATTTTAGTGTTTTTGAAACTTATTGAATTATCGATATGTATTAAATTATCGAAGTTTATAGACAAACTGGAATGTATCGCGTACATTCCAAGTCCTGCCAAAGACCTTTAAAGATATAAAAAAAGTAAGTGCGCCTGGGCCACACTGCAGAAGTGAAACTTACGTTACTTATCTATCTATACATACACACGTGTGCTTTTGCTTAAGGTTATATTTTTTCGTTTTTTTTCTATCAATGTAGACCCCTACCTCTACCACTGTTCGTTTTATTCTGTTTTTCCGTTATCTTCATTTTTATCTTTATACTCTATCGAAAACAAAATCGATTATAACGTCCATCAACATATCGATAACAAAATCGATGACAAATTCGATAAAAATTTCAGTAGCAACATCGATAATACCATT